TACCAGATATAGTGTGTGTGAAAGAGGAGGGTCTGAGGATGGACATGAAGCAGAGAAATAGGGAGGCAAAGCATTAAAGGCACAAAGAAATGTGGTATTATCTATTGAAGATATTTTGTAGTTTTATCAATTGTACTAGGGAGAAATGATCACCTGTTGAAATATACATTTTGTAAGCCAAATAATAGTACGATTGAATGTATAAAAGAAAATGAAATGAAAATAAATAAATAAAAAAATATATTGTAGACAGGCCACTGGCCTGGTGGTTAAGGCAGCTGGATCTTACCTGGTGATTTGAATCTTGGACCTGTGGTAGGCATGTGTGCGTGAGTGCCCAAAATCCTGAAAGGATGGAAATTGCAGCATGACCATGCCACATGGGAAATGCTTTCTCATCTCCCACCATCCCCAACCGTCTCCAGTGTGCAGACTGCCCTCTGGAAAATAAACAAAATTGTGTAAACTTACCTTCAGGCTATGTGTATCAGATGTATATTAAACATAAATGAATTTCTCATGTAGACTTCGGTATCATCTGCAAGATGTCTTATATGTTTATGTAGATATTCCAAAATCTTAAATTAAAATCCAAAATGCTTCTGATAGGATTAAATGTAGCATTTTGGATAGGAGGTATTCAACCCATATTTGCATTTTATTTGCTAATTTCTCTGTGTATGTGCGTGCGTGTGTGTGTGTGTGTGTCTGTCTGTCTTTAGGAGTATTTTTCTCCCTAATCTACATGACCCTTAACATATGTGTCATTTATTCCCATTTTATGTGTGAGGGAGGTAAGGACATTTAGATAAATTACCAAAGCTTCTTATAATTAAAAACAGAGTTAAGATTCAAATCCAGTTCTTTCTGACTTCCAAAGACAACATTCTTTACATGGCCTGTGCAGTTTTAAAAGACATTTGGAATTTGACTTGTAACACCCTAATGGTAACTACTCTTCCCAGTTTGGGAACTCAGTTCTCATTACTTTCTTATACTTTTCCACAACCTGGGAAGAATAGATTACTACTTTTTATTTGCTTAAATAGACATATTACCATATCCCATTATTGACGAAGCCAGGCACTGTTCTTTATATTTAATACTGTAATGTGTACCTAATCTCAATCTGATGAGAGGTAGGTGTATTTTCCCCCAGCAAGTTACTTTTTTTTTGGAGAGGTTTTTGCTATAGGCTCGTGTGCTCGCTGGAAAGACACAGAGAGACAGAGAGACAGAAAGCGAGAAATTACCCCCCGGGGGGATGGCCATGCCGCAGTCCCTTCTCCTCCATTCTCCTCTCAGGATCTTGGGCACACATGCACACGTGCCTGGCATGAGTTTTAGTCACCAGGTCCGGGACTCGAACACTGGTCAACTACATGGGAGTTCAGCAACATAGCCATCACACTTACTGCTGGTCCTCCCCCCCCCCGCAACTTACTATTAAATTCATATACCCACCACCTAGATTTGGCAGCTAACATTTTACTATATTAATTTTATATATCTGTCATCTACTTGTCCCGGTTGTCCCTTATTAGTTAAATTATTTTTTTTAACATTGGAAAGTATAGATACAACTATACATCCCTTTAAATACTTCATTCACCATGTACTAACTAGAATTTTATATTTAATGTACAATTTTTTTCTTTTGATGTAAAAATCTACATTTATTGGAATGTACAAATCATAAAAGTACATTTTCTGAGTTGATAAACGTGTGACCCAGATATCCATCAAGACATAAGACATTGCTACAAATAGGTGCTTCCTCCTCCCATGTTTTAGATGAGGAAACTGAGCACATGTAGAGAGGCTAAACAATCCGCCCAACGTCTCATTGCTAGTAAGTGGCAGAACTCAAGTTCAAACTCAGAAGCCTGACCACCTGACCATACCACTGGTCCTGCCTATAGATTATCCTCACATGTTTGGGCATGTTTTTACATTCACACACACAGATAGAACATTTCTTTTTAAAGTGAGTGAGCAGAGGCAGAATGATATACTAAGTGTATTCTAGGAACGCATTCGTTCCTCTCAGCAGGTGTATGGTCAGAGAAATGAAGAGGCTCGTATACTGTGACAGTTCCTTTCATCCGAGTATTAGGGTAAATCTCTGTATAGTAACTCTCTTAATTGGCATCCTTGACTAATGTTTCCACACATATTGGTGAAGTGATAGTGAATTTTCTAATGACAACTCTGAGGTTTGGGAAAATCCTAAAGTGTCACTTGAACAATTAAAGATAAATTATACTCAGTATAGTTTGGTGTAATAAGCACATTTTGCTTCTGATTAGTAAAGAAGTGTTCACCTATATGTGGTATGTGTAGTACCACTCATCTTGATACCTCAGATGCAAAATAATAAAATTGGCCAATTTGGAATTTATAATACTCTTTGATCGCTCCAAATAAATTGCATTAAAATGTAAGGACTGGAACAGATTTACATTACACCCACCCCCTGTTTGCAATACTTAGGTGGATTATCCCTATGAAAGAAATTGTTCAACCTTAAGTCTCTTACCTGAGTTGTATTCATATCACAAAACTATCTTAATAAAATTGACCTGGGAGCCAGCAGTTAGCGTAATGGCTATGTCGCTGGACTCCCACGTAGTCAACCGCGGTTCGCGTCCCGGACCCGGTGACTTAAAACTCACGCCAGGCGCGTGTGCGTGCGTGCCCAAGATCCCGAGAGGAGAATGGAGGAGAAGGGACTGCGGCATGACCATCCCCTCTGGGGGGTGATTTCTCGCTTTCTATCTCTCTGTCTGTCTCTGTCTGGCGAGCACACGCGTCCTATAGTGAAAAAAACCTCTCAAAAATAAATAAATAAATAAATAAATAAAATTGACCAGTACTCTGTTTACTACTCAAGTGATGAAAAAGCAGCTATATGTAATTTTTAAAAATTCCTAAATATTACACATATGTGTGTGCATTTGTGTGTATTTACTTAAAACAAAATTCATAGACTAAACCTGTCTATAATTAATGAGGAAGATTGCAGTTGTTCGCACTGCAAACCCAATTTAAGGGATACATTTTATCATCCTGATATGCATGCCCCACCTGTGTTTATACCAAAGACACTTTATGAATTACCAGTTGAAATGAGAGAAGCATCTCAAAATAAAGGTCTTGCTTTTCTTTGCTTTGTTAAAAAAAGAAAAATCCTAAATATTGCTCAAAAAGCAGTTAAAATAAAAATGAAGATAATGCATGGAACTAGCAAGACCTAGCCAGTCACTAGAGGGCAGAGCAGTACTGTTCTTTAGGCTTTATCTGAAAATGTCTGCTTTCAAAATTTCTGAACATGATGGAAAATATATTGACATACAATTGAATATGAATTACTTTGTATTCTTATTGTCTTGTCTTGCTGTGAAATCCAATAACATGCTTACACTTGCATCAAAGGAGCTTTTCTGGCAATTACATTGATTGCTTCCAAAAGGGCATGATTATTTAGAAGAGTGTAAGTATCCCTCAAGAGAAAATACTAATGCTCATAAAAAGAGTGGTGCATTAAATCATTTTTCCTCTGTGGAGTACCCTGAAATTAGATTGCAGTATAGACTGGAGGTGAGACATTATGCGAGAACAAGTAACTTGGAGACTGGTCTTTTACTACTACTTAGCTCTGAGAACTAATTGAAATTGGGAGTACCGTTTCATCTTTCCAGTCAGCCAAAATGTTGAATTATTAACACTTTGAAATTGTAATGTTGTAAAACAAAAACAAAAAACCTGTAGCTTTTTTTTTTAATGTGAAAATGTTGTCAATGACTGTTCATTTCATTTCATTTCTGATCTGAATTTTCTGTCACTTTGATATATTTTTTAAATAACCTAGTAAATAACCTGACTAGTTTAGTGTCACATAAAATAGAAAAAAAATTATCTTGAACTATGTATAGTGTGGATTTTATTTTTTTTTATTTTTTTAAAAATTATTTATTTTATTTTATTTATTCATTCATTTATTTTAATTTGACCAGAGAAAGACACATAGAGAGAAAGAAGGAACGTGAGAAAACAAGCCACCAGGCCCAGGATTAGAACCGTGGTAAGCCACATGGGAGTGTCCAGCACCTTAACCACCATACCACCTGCTGGTCCCCAGTGTGGATTTTATTTTTAAAAAGTTTGGATTTAGGGGCCAATAGGTGGTGTAGTGATTAAGGCACCAGACTCCCACATGGTGAACCACAGTTCAAGCCCCTGACCTTGTGGCTAGAAACTCATTCCTGGCATGTGTGTGTGTGTGTATGTGTGTATGTGTGTATGCACACACTCAAAATTCTGAGGAGAATGGAGGAGAAGGGATTTATGGCATCACCCCCTGGGGGATGATTTCTCATTTTTCCTCTGTCTCTTTGTCTGTCTGTCTCTCTAGGGAGTGCACGTGCCTGTGGTAAAAATAAAAATAGGTTTGGATTTATATAATATTCATTTTTAATAGGGACAACACGGGACATAGGAAAAACCATTGAAGTTAGGAATCAGAAAATTTGGGGCCTGATTATCATTTACTTACATATGACTTTGGACAAGTCACGTTACGTCTCTGACTTGTATTTTCTAAATTGGAAAAACATTTCCTTGTTTACAACTGGGTTGTTTCAGGTATCCTTGTGTATATATTCTCAAAGATGAACCCTTAAAAAGAGAATTTTAATACAGGTAATGAAGTCAGAAGAACCGTAGCGGTAACTCTGGAACGACTGATTTGATCATGAAGTTGGTAACATGAAGGCACCTATAACGTGAGCCAGCAGTAGCAAAGACATGGCCTCTGACCACATCCCAGTTCAGATTGCCAGCTTCCTCCCTGTCTCTGAGTCTCTCTGGCTGCTTACTCTTTCTGTAACTCCTGACGCTCACTGCTCTAAGCTGTAGTCTGTCCTGTTTATTTCCGTGTTTCCTCTCTCTGTGTTTCTCCTGACTGTCTCTGGTCTCTCTCTGTGTTTTTCTTGTCCCAGGTACCCTCGGGAAGACCCCAAGCCTCTAGCGGTACCTGGTATCGTCTCCAGCATGTTATAGAGGTGAAGGAGTCCCTGGGATATTGAGAATTACCAGAGGCGAATTGTTCCACTGTAGTAAGTCACTCAGCATTTATTAAGTAACTACTATTCACTGGGCACACTTGGCCATTCTTTGGGGGAAGAAGACTGAGTTAGGGCACAGCATAGATGAACTTGCAAGCTTTCCTCCGTGGTTCCTGTCGGCTGGACACACATGTAAATAAAACAACAAATCTAAAAGCTGACAAGTAATTGTGTAAATGAGTTTTGTTGTGTGTGAGCTGGAGGGGCCCAGATTAACGACATAGAGAAAGCCAGGCGGTATCAATCAGATTTCTACATGCTTTTAAAATTAGGTTGTGATTTCTGGTTGTGTGCGATGAGAAAGGAGAGGGTAGAAATGAGTAATTTCAGTGGGGGCAGTGAAATTAGTGCTAGGTTTCAGCCTTACAACAGCTAACTTTCCTTAAACTGCGAGTCTTAGAGAAGTTTAAGTTAGGGAAAGGAATGCATATAGTCAGGTCGAGACTTTCCATAAGCATAATTGGTATCCGTTGCCAGTTTTAGAATTGATTTGGAAATACTAAAGTTAATGAAGCACTATGACATACAGTCTGTACAAACTATTAGAACATGATTCCGAGAAGCGTTTTCAGTGCTAGGAAAAGTTCAAATAGTAAACTGCAATATAACAAACCTGCTTTATTTTCATCTTGGGAATTTATTTTTGCCATTGTATTTTAGGCAGTCTTACCTAGTAGATACATTGTGGTTTCAGTTAATATATCAAAGTATATTGGATGTAGTTTGAATCCTAGGTCTGCTAGTTTGTAACATAGGGTGATCTATTACTGAATCTCATTTTCTTCACATGTAAACTAAAGATGAAAACATTTACCTCAAAGAGCCCTGTAAATAAAGAGATATAATATTATGAAGTCCTAAATACATGCTAGCCACTTGTTACTTGCAGGTACTTAAAAATATTTCTAAAATAGTTTGTTAATACAGTGTTATTTCTGAGATTTAAAAAAAATAGAAGTAGCTCTGATATTTAGAAGATATTATATATACAAAGAATAATTATAACATATAAAGAAGGCTTAAAGAATAATGTTTAAGAATAGCATTTAGATGAGTAACTGAATACATATCACTATCTTAGGAAATATTACGTGTCAGTATCTTTGGTGTCCCCAGATCAGATTTCCTGGCCTCTCTCTACCCTCTCTTCACACCCCTGAATGTTGGGTTTATTACCGACATGTTTTTCTTTATGATTTTTCATATATTTATAGACTCCCTACATTAAGTTTTGCTAGTTTTTGGATTTTATGTAAATAATCTTGCACTGTATGGTTTTTTAAATGATACCTGTTTTTCGCTGTTCATCATGTTTGCAAGAGTTATCTATTATAATTCATGTATGATCACAGTTGTATAGTATTTCATTAAACTTTATTAAATACAGCACGTTATTTACTTTCTTTTGATGGTTGTTTAGCCTGTTTCTATTTTTGTGTTATTAGAAATAAAGCCACAAAGAAAAAAATTCTTAGGAGTCCTATATATGCCCTCTTTATGTACATATGATTTATTTAGGGTATATGTTCAGAAGTAGACATGTGCATTCCAAATTACATAAGACGATGCTGGACAGGTTTCAAAGAACTTAATACATTTTATATTCCCACTATGAGAATATAACTGTTGCCCCTTTTTGTCACCTATACTTCTTTACAATTGCTAGACTTCTATTTGACATATTCACCAAATCTTTGTGAATGGTCCTCTGTGTGAATATTACTATATCTGGAGAGAAATTTAAGACTAGAAAGCATTTTTTAAAGAATGATTTTATTTCATTTATTATAATTATTATTTATTTATTTTTACCAGAGAGAGAGAGAAAGGGAAAGTAAGAAAGCAAGTCCTCAGGTCTGGGATTCAAACTGTGTTCGGCCATGTGAGAGTCTAGCACCTCAACCACTATGCCAACTGTTAACACCAGAAAGGATTTTTTTAAAGTTGCCCAAAACACTATCTTACTGATAACTGTAAAGATAACCCTTAATTTAAAAAATACATTTATTTAAATTACTAAGTCAAGTTTTTTTTTTTTTTTTCCCCTTTGCCTAAGAACATACATGCTTGCCAAAGAGAGACAGAGAGGGGGAGGAAGAAAGTACCCGCCATTGAGATGCTGTCATGCTGTAAACCGTTCTCCTTAATTTTTTTCATCCTACTGGGATTTGGAGTACACACACAAACGTGCCTGGTATGTTTCTTAAGCCGCTGGATCCAGGATTTAAACTATGTGGTCAGCCATGTGGGATCTGGCTCCTTTAACCAGTAGGCCACGGGACTGACCCAACCCTCATATTTTAAAACTTAACTTTATTCTTTGCAGCAGTAGCTTTTATTTCTCTTAATTTTCCAATCCTGAAATAACTGGGTATGTTTGCTCACTAAAAATTTTTTCTTCCAGGAAACCGTACTGTAATACTAAATGTTCTCTTGTGAGAAATGAAAATTGTCAGTTGTTCCTGACTTCTAAAGACAGCTTATACAGAGAAATGTACACATCTTTTCCTGATTTCTTTTTTATCTCTTAATTCAAATTGAGATAGAGAAAGAGTGATCCACAGAAGAATGTTCTCAAGCTGCATTAATTTGATCAACCCATTTCTTGTTTTGTTTTGCTAAAGTTCCAAAATCTTGAGTAAATGACTTCAGTTGTATTTGCCTCTCTTAACCCTCTTCTGACCTTCACCCACCCTTGTTTTTCTTTTTTTATTTAAATTTATTTGTTTATGTTCATTCACTGTACATCATTACAACATACAAAATGGGATTTTCCATCCAGCACATCAACATACATGTTATTGTCAACAAATAATTTTCCATTTCTTGTTTCCTGTATGTTTTGCTTTTTTCCCCCATCCTTGATTCCCTATCTCTTACCCTCTACCATCTCCCACTCTCTTCCCACACTGTCTCTGGTATCTGTGTTTACTTTCTATACTGTTTCTCCCCACACATTTTATTGAATTACTAAAGATTCCACCCTTGTTTTTCTCAGCCAGTGTTTTTTTGGGTTTCTGATTAAACTTGAACACTCTACTTCAACTTTAATATCAGAAGTTCCTCCCAACTTTATAATGGCTATTTGATGATCCATAATTTTAGTTGAGTGATTATAACATTTTGCTATTGTCAAGCTTGTTCCCATTATTTACTATGTGTACTTTCTGAGATATTTCTGGGGAAAACCTATAGCCTATTGCCTACTACTTAGTATTCAACAGATGTTTATTGAATGTAGAAAGGAAAGATGTAAGTGCAGTGAGCACTGAAATTTTTCTTTTCCCTGTTTAATTATAACTGCCCTTAAAGCACTAGCAGAAATTATGAGTTCAGTAAGCAGTTCTGCTAATAAGTAGCTTTGACAAAAATTAATTTTATTATTATTATTCTTAAATTTGCTATAGGGCACGTGTACTCATGAGAGAGAGAGAGAGAGAGAGAGAGAGAGAGAAAGCCGCCAGGTCCAGGACTCAAATCTTGGTCCACCATGTGGGAGTCCAGTGCCTTAACCACCATGTCACTTGCTGGCCCCAGTAAGTAGGTTTCTTAAACCATAAGCAAGTCATTTTCATTTCTTTTTTTAGGTTTACTCTTTGTGTTTTTGGAAAATGAGCATGGTAGACAAGTGATCTGTAAGATTCCTTTTGACTGTAACATTTTATATTCTAATTGAAATGAAAATTAGTTTCTCACTATTTTTCTGGTCACCACTACCAGAGACTGAATCTAACCACCTTACCAGGCTTTAGGCTCATAGCTGTGTCACAGTGACCTGACCTGCCAGTTGGCGCCTCTCATAACCCCAGCAAGTGAGCCATACATTGAACTTCCTTCCCTCTCTTTGCTTTTTAGGGTTGATTTGTTCTAGAGAAAGAATACATTTATCTTTCTTTGAGAAAGTGTAATGAATGCCTTTAGCTTCCCAATTTCATTCATCAGGCAGTGCAGGCATTGTTCAGTGCAAAAGCTTGAGTTCTGCCCTCTTGCTCCTCCTCTTCCCCCAACCCTACAATTGTGGCCAGGGCAACCCGTCCTACTCTGTTACATGTTGTACAACTTAATCCCATGTTTTTTCTCACACTCCACTTACTATCTTTTAGTCAGTGTTGGTTTTCTCTGTTAGACAGTCTTCAGAGTCAATGGGTCAGTCTTCCTCAGGGGTTGTAGACAAGTTCTCCCTCCATTTCTGCTGTGGTTCCTCTACTGCAGAGATACCATGTGTCCAGGCAGATGGTGAGTGAGTGCCTGTGTTCCTTTTCTGACCACATCTGGTCAGTTTTGTCATTCTATTTCAGGGGTTCCTACTCTAACCCAAGAAGGACTAGTGACACAGCCAATTTTGGGGAGTTCTTTGACTTCACCTGCTCACATGACTAATATTTCCTAAATGTGTTACTTTACTCATCCAAGGTTAATTTTCTGAGTGTCTCTGAACTCTGCACCAGAGGCAAAGGTGCCAGAGATCACGCTACAAAAGGGCGAGGGCCATGTTTCATGTCAACTGTGTAGCTTATAAACACTACCCAGTCACTTCTGAGTGTCCTGGCCAGAGAGTTAGGTGTTTGACTGTTAACAAGATCATTAGCTAGGTAGGCCCTTTCTGACCTTCATTAAGGTGCACAAGATAATCTAATCTCATCATGATGCTGTGGTTCTACTTTGTGAAAGTTCTATGTAAATCAGGCAGATTTTAGGCTAAGAGAATAAGGCAGGAGAAGAATCTTAAAACTGAAAACATGGAAAAAGGCAGTAATGAAGGGCTTATTTTTGATAACATTATCTTCATTCAAAATTAAATTTGGAATATTAAAAAATACATTTTTTAATGTTAAATTACCTATTATTGAAAGCATAGTTGTTAACGTTGCAGCCTCTGGCTCAACTCCATACAGAGAAAGCACGTGAGATCCACTGGCTGTACAGCCATGAGGAGGAAGAAGCCAGACTGTGATAATTCACCCTTAGGAACTGCTTCCTTGACAAGACCC